AAAAAAAACATGTTATATGTTGAACCCGAAGGGTTGCATGTATAAGTCTAGTATGCTATTCACGATTGCTTGTCAGGATCCATCCGTTTCAGAAGTCCCAGCTCGAGAGGCCGGGATTTTGCTGATTGCAAGAATCTTTGACTGTAGTGCCCCATGACCCCCACGAGTCTATAGAGAATTTCATTGCCGGGACAGGTGCAAGCCATCATGTCATCCGATGAAGAGGCTACTCAGTTGGTCAGCAGTAGCCGCGAGCAGCTTTCCACCGTCCTTCAAAGCCTCCTGATACGGGTGTGTCTTAGCTGAACCGAATGAGTCGGGTATCTGATGTTCGATGTGGTAAATGTTCTGATTGTGCACGAAGTTGCTGCATCGAAGTCAAAGAAATGATGAACCTAAGGAATGCATCGGGGGTTGCACCGAACTTGGTCGAGCGAGGAGCAGTTCAAGTGCAAGCCAGCCCTCAGCATGGCTCCTTGCCTTTGGCCTGACCGCTTGTGTGATTTAACTTTTGAAGCTGCAGCCCAATGTTTGTAAGGCTCTGGAAGATCCCCTGCAACGGCATTGCCAAGCAGCTCTTCTGAGCAGAAGAAGGACGAGGCACTTTTGGTCCATGTCTGGTTTGCTAGAATTTCAGAATTGTGCTGGTTTATCCGAGCGACGACTGCAGCAGGCATCAACCGCATTTTCGGTGTGAGCACGATCGTATCCCCGTAAGTCCCTTCCTTGACCAGGCCCTTCAGAAGACGGCTGGTGATCCATTGGCTGCTTCGGGCGGCCATCCACCCAGTGAGGAGGACAATGGTGTGCCCGAGGAGTCTGTGTTTCCAGCAGTTCCACATGAAGGCTATGTGACCCGCAGGGAACAGTTCGGTGCCAAACAGGCATTGAAAGATGCTGATGGTCGCAGAGGCCGTGGTCGAGGGCGGGGCGGTCGAGGCCGAGCAATGGCTGCAAAGTCAATGGCGAAACGGAAGAAGGAACCCGAAGGGGTGAACAGTTCCTGCAGCCAGGGACCAGTCGAGAAAGGGTCCGATCTTCGTCGCATGACCCGACATGTCGAGGGCGAGAGCGAGCAGACGGATAAGGATGAGACCGGCGATGACCCGCCGGGCTCAGGCGAGGATTCGGCGGACACGAAGAAGCCGAAGCCGAAGGCCAAAGCAAAGGGGAAGGCAAAGGCCAAGGCTAAGGCTTTGCCGAAGGGCAAAGCCAAGGCCAAGGCCAAAGCCAAGGCCAAGGCCTTGGGGAAGAATGGGAAGTCCCAGGCGAAAGCGCCGCCGGGAGCCGATGATGATGATAATGATGATGTGGAGCCGCCAAGCAAGAAGGCCAAGCTTGATGTGCAGCCGCCGAGCGAGGAGGCCAAGCTTGATGTGCAGCCGCCGAATAAGAAGGCCAAGCTTCAGGCGGGGTCGGCGGGCAAGAAGAGCAACCGCACAGAGGCCTTGGAGACAGCTTTCAAGCAGACCTTCCACTGCTTCACCCAGCAGCGAAAGCCTCCGCCGTTGGTCTTCAAGGACATGAATGCCGATGCTCACTTGTCCAACCCGGACCATATTCGTGATGTGCTCAAGTACGAAGTCATGAAGTGTTTGATCGAATGCCACAAGGCCGGCGAGGCCGACAAGAAAGGCAAGCACAATCACTTGGACAAGGTGATTCCGCCTGGGACCTACCGGTACGAGATGTATTGGACCCGATGCTCGGTGGGGGTCAAGAGGCAGGAGGGCAACGAGATGAAGCAGATCGTCTACTTTTCGAGGCCAACTACATGCACGGGCACGAACCGGGTGTTGGCAAAGTATTTCGCCTGGGGCTTGGATGGTTTCTAAAAACTTAAGGTGTATGTGATGTGCCGTGCATGATTCAGTGGCATGTAGCTCGAAAGTGCACTTGTTTTTGTTGGCCTCAGGTTGCTTTGTGCTCTTCGCTCCCTCAGAACACCCCGCCTACTTGCAGAGCTTTGTGTCATTTCAAAGCCATCGCTGCGACAGCACACTCCGAAGCTTTGGAGGGATGGTTGCCGTGAATCGTGCGACATCAGGGGGTGCCTGCAGTATGTGTGGACTTATACAGTCATGTTGTCCAATCGTCTCGGACATTGCTTGGTGTTGCTTGCTCTTCACAACAGACCTATACTATAGGTGCCACACGAAACCCTGCAGGCATCGCTTTGGGGACTGTTCCCAGAACTGGATATAGGGGAAAACTGCGAGCAGCATGAGCATCATGAGCATCATCGAGCTAAACTGCAGCATGGTTGCACACATGTATACATGCACACACATACACATGCACAAATGTGTTGTTGAAGCCGACGGCTCGCATGGTTCAGCCAGGGGTTGAGCTGAAGCTGTGACAAAAGACGTTTCGCCGAATCGCCAAAAAGACGGTGTGCAGCTGCTTGCTCTGGGCTTTCATCGTGCAATGCTATGGGTCTGAACCACGCAGATCCTGCGAGCTGTTAGTTAATCCGATCTGTTCACAAGCAAGCTGTGACATGGCAGGTGGGATGCCGAAGCGAACTCGAGACGATGCTCCTTCATTGCGAATGGACCGTTGGCTGGCTCGCTTGCTTAGCTCAGGTTCGTATTCCAGGGGTACAGGTGTCGAGTATAATTGATTCCCACAGTTCATGCTCTATATACCCTCTCAATCCCTATAAACCCTAAATCGTAGTATACCCTGCATCTGTAGATTTCAGCTGGGCATCGGGGTGCATGGGGACCTTAGGTTATGACGAGAGGCGGCTTATTGGGTTTGACGATCTAGAGGCTTAAAGCCTCGCCGGGTTTAGAGTCCTGATTTCTTGGTGTTCCGACACTCAGGCTTCTGGGGATTGTTAAAGTGTTTCGCTTTTCTAAGCTATAAAGCCTTATAACCCTAAACCCTAAACCCTAAACCCTATAACCCTATATAGCCTCAAAGATCAGGTTGGTCTCGCATGTGACCAAAACTCATGTTGGGCCAGCACGAGACACTAACCCTAAATCCTATAACCCTATAGCCTCAAAGATCAGGTTGGTCTCGCATGTGACCAAATCTCATGTTGGGCCAGCACGAGACACTTTTTTTGCCGAAAGCCGGAACACCGATCATGTGTCGCAGCTCTGATCAGCAACAGCAGATCTCCACGCACCGGGAGGTTGTGCTACAATCAACTATATGGGGTTTCCAAAAATTAGGGA